TCATGAGAACTGACCCTCCATCAAGAGCTGCTGAAAGAATATGACTGTTGTGCTCTTGCCACCAACGGTTTTTGTGCTTGTTAACCAAATAATTGAAGATGATTCCAATAGCAATCCAGCTACTGACAGTCGCAGATGTTGTTTGAGTCAACATTGCTATTGCTCCCAACGTTACAGGAAGGTTGATAAGTGGAATCCATTTCTGGTTGGGAAAAGCTTTATGCAATAGCCATACTATGATAGGCCCCAAAGCACCTCCAAGGAAGAACCATTCAAGGGCAAAGTAATTTTCAAGGCTGCCCGATGTTCTTCTGGGTCCAATCAAGCCCCAGAAAACAGATTCTTGAAAGATGCTTCGGTCAGTAGAGCATTCCCAGGGACTGTGAGGAGGGAGCAGATCGCGTTGGCATATATTCTTGACATCATGCATCAACCACCATCCCATTACAAGATTAATTGTTCCAGCCATTATGGTTCCTGTAAACTTTTTTATACAACAATAAGAGAAGGAATTAGATATTTAAATGAAGTGATTGCCCGAGAAGGGATGAGGGAGGACAGAATCTAGCTATATATTCTTACATGCATTTGTGTCAACATCAAGGACAGAGTTTCCAGAGCCTAGAATTCTGATGTTCTTATGCTTCGATATTAAAGTGAAGGAATTGCAAGGATTTAAGATGTACCTACCTCTACTAAAAACCTTGATCTTGGTGGAATTTTCATGTAGTGGCACATCTTGAAATTATTTAGGAAATGACTTGCGTTTGTTGTGCTTATAGCGCCATAAGTCTTGAAGCAGAGATTAGCTATTGGTCTTCCTGGAAGCATCATACCCATGATATACTGTGTGATGACATCAAGTGTGGGTGTCTAGCAATAAAAATGTATCAAATCATTAAAGAAGTAACTAAAATGATCTAAATTCAAAATATGTTCAGATCTTTAATGTCAAGAGAACGATTATGTTACCTGATTTGTAGTGGCAGTTATAATGCTCATAGGAAGAGTAAAAGCAAATGCAAGACCAATTGCAAAAACCGCACTCCACCAAGGCAGTTGAATTTGGTCTTTCTGAAAGATGCACAGGTGCAGCGTTAGTAGCAAAGACACCCCAAGTATCAGATAAAACCACCAATTGGGTATGTCCTTGTACTTTCTCATCAACTTTGTATGGATATCAACTTTATTCTCTTTGAAAGAAGCTCGAAATAGACCAAGTATTTCCCTGTTTTTAGAAAATTTAGTTAAGACTTTGAGCCAACCAAAAGCAATACAAAATATTAATAATTACTATTCGTAAATTCAAATGCTTTTAAGTTTTGATTACTCACTTTCCATTAAAGAAGGCGACATGCGTCAAGATGGATATAGCAGCAGCCATGCTAATTCCATATGCGAATGTGAAGGAAATACTGAAGTTGATTGGCCCCTTTTGCTCATATGAATGCAAGTTTATTTCTAACTTGTCATTCACAATGGACGAAACATCATAATCCTTTCCTCTTGAATTGAACGTACCCAAAGAAACGATGGGGGATCTTTGGGCATGATAGGTATTTAACACGTAATAAGCAATGGGAATTATAACATAAAGTGCTAAAACGTGGCCTACGAGGATGTTTACAGTCGTGAAGAAAGGGGTGATGAGAGGGCTGCCAAGCGAAGAGAATACGGTTGACAAATCCAGGGAAAAGGATCCAAGGCCAAGTCCATCAATGCCTGATCCAATCTGATGGGCAGTTACCGACTTGGGGAATGCCCAGTAGACCCAAGAAATGGATGCCATAATTTCGAAGAGGTATCCGGGAAAGACATGCCAAGCACAGCTGCAGATGAGTGCAATGTAGAAGAATTTCCTTCGGGGCATCCTGCCGTTATCTTTCTCATGCAATGCCCTGCGGAAGTGTTTACGTAATTGTAAGCGACTGACAGAACATGAACATGAATTCCTTCTCCTCCTAGTACAAGCATACTGTTATTGTTGCAATTATTAAATCAAAAGAATTTATATCTATCTATATTTATTAAGAAAAAAATCATTCAAAACAAGTATGACACATTAAATTGAAAAGATTTGTTGATCACTGTGAGACACTTATTATCATATTAATTTTATTTAGAAAATTTTGTTTTGTTGACCGATTTATAGTTAAGCAATTCTCTTTTATTATTAGAAATAATTTATATAGGTTAGAGAACTGTAAATATGCATATAACATTTGCTTTTTTAATTATAATTACTTTTTGAGAATAAATAATATTTTATATAACAATAATATTTATAAAAATTAAAAACATAAATTACTATTTCTTTGTAATTAAAGTTCCCACGCATGGCACGGGTATTATCTAGCAGTCAATTAAACCAAAACTATATATGACTGCAATAAAAAACGCATAAATTTTACCTAAAAAAGGGGACTTGAACTAGACTATTTGGCCACCGCATATGGGCAGGTTCCACCACAAACTTTCTCATAATCCCCGCCAATCCATACCCCAAAAGCTGCACCAAGCTCTAATCAGACAACTCATCAACATAAAAAAACACAAACACTTGAAAAACATCTGGAATCAATCACCAATGATACTACAACAAATTGTGCTTTCAACAACCAAATCCTATTAATCCCGTTGTTAATAATAATAAAAAAATTCAAACAAACAACGATGGTTTTTTCTCTCTTCTTTTTTTTCTTTCCTCTAAAATTGTGCTTTCTTAATTTTTTAGTTTGCCTTTGCAGATTCCTTGTTCTCTCTGTTCTCTCTCTTCTTTATTAGTGTTTAGTGTGAATGTAACTTGCATTACGTAAACCCTAAACTGTGTAAATATATACCTGTGTAGAGATGACTAGCATCCAGCTTGTTGAGAAAGTGATCTTGTTGTGGTAAAACAGCTGAATAACGTTCACAATGCCGACTCCATAAGCGGTACCCCCAACAAAAGCAGTCCCAGTTTGAGCGAAAATTGAAATCAAGACATGCTCTTTGGCGTTGAATGGGCCAGGGTTTAGAGAAACCTCCCATCTGCTATTGCGGATGCGAAGCTTGGTGGAGGGAAGCACCTTGGCCAGGAAGTTACCGATTCGGAGACTGACCAACTGGACAATCATCGTCGAAACTAACAATGGTTCCATACTGTTGGGATTAGGCCTAACACCCACTTTGGGCCACATGCAGTAGGCCCAATTATACACCCACTGGCCCAAGATGAGGAGACATACCCACGTGGGCAGTGACACGTGGACCAAACGGGTGAAGACATGTTTGAGCCCATGTCAGGATCTGGGGCTATAAATACCCCCCAACTACCTCCATGCAAGGTATTAATTCTTCTACGTCTCTCTCTCTGCAATTACTCTTTGAGAGCATCTCTCTCTAGAATATTGAGTATTGCTGACTTGAGCGTCGGAGTATTTTATTTGAGGAAACATCCTCGGGATTTTTAGGTGTAGAAGCAACTGAAGACTTCAATAGTGTTGGATTGTGAAGCTACCCAAACATTTGGCGTCGTCTGTGGGAACCTTGAACAGGAAGTTGTGTAGCTTAACTTGCTGAAAGATAAGGTGGTTCGTACTTTTATCTGAAGTCGCCCCCCCGGGAACGAAATGTAACTTGCTGAAAGATAAGGTGGTTCGTACTTTTATCGGAAGTCGCCCCCCCGGGAACGAAATGGACGAACAGGTGGATACTCAACTATCAAGGCCCGGCTTGAATGATTTTAGGCCAATGCCAAGAAACCTTTTCGTCGGAGGAGCAGAATAGGACCAACTAAGTGAAACAGATGATGATGAAAGA